TCTCTAATTTTAATAACTCAGGTGTAGAAACACCGGACAAATTCCTTCTCTCAGAACCAAGCCTTACTAATTTTTCGCAACCACCTTACCGACCCATTGCTTCCCAGCTTCCCAATAAAAGCTCTCTCTCCCCCTCTTTATACACTCATGCTACCCTATCCTTTCCCCAATGTCAAGTGCACATAGCGTATGACCGATAACCAATTAGAGCATGAATTAGATAACTTTATAAAACAACAGCAACACCTTCATAACACAAATAACGCAAGAACAATTTACCAACACACACTCAGCCTCAACATCCGAATCCTTAAATGATTCGGTCCACATTGCACCCACCGGAGCACATAGAATTTTCAAAGGAAAACGGCCTAAGCCTTTACCTCAATTTGCCATTAGCCGTCCACGATCATCCCGACTATGTTCCTATTATCCACAACATACTAACTTCAAAAAAAACTAAATCATAATTTACTGTTTTTCCCTCATTATATATACTATGCAGCCACTAAAACAACCATCAGAACTTATACGTTGACGAAAATGTCCTCTTTTCCATACTCTCTTGAACTATCTACTCTCATTTCGCTAACCCACTAACGCTTCCTTCAAAAACACCCTCGAAGACAATGTCATTCGCTTTTTCATAAGCTACCACTGATTTTCGCGAAAGTCAATTCACCTCCATCTTATTAAACCAAACTCTCAATCGATTCATAGCACAACGCGCTAACCGATATTCAATCAATCACTACGATCATACAATAACTCGATATATGGAAGACACCCCAAATGAGGACGAACCCAATACTAACCCTCAATTAACAGAAAGTTTCTTCATTAGATCTGAATAATTGTTCCACTTAGACAGTACTAACAAAAAGTTAGATATTATTATTGCTCGCGTACTAACAAAAACAAAAGCATACGAATATTATTTTAACAAATTTGAACAAGTCGATCTCCCACTTTACTTCCTTACTCCTAAGGAACGCGGCATTCACTGCTCGCATGAGATCATCATAATGACGAAACTAACCCACACGTACGCTTATTATAAAATTATACAACATCATTACACATCTAACTCACCAACTGAAAACCCACAACACCGTTTTTTGTTTATTAATTCAAAGTATACTTCATCACTTGACTTACTTACCTAAACTTGACTTATTGTATTAAACTGACTTATCTCCACGGCATCCTCCAAATTTATGAAACCCACCAGATAGATGTATATATTCTGCCCACTGACCAATACTTTTCCCATTGATGACGCTCGCCCACTAATTGTCCTCCACAAATATATACAGTTCATTGAAAACACCCTATTAGAACATATTCCCAACACTAAAAATTCAACCACAAATTACAGAAAATAGTTCAAAATACAAGTTATGAATTCTCACCACTCACTGAAGAAATTCACATCATCAGAGGGCTGGGACTCCTCTGACATCTGCTTCGTACTAAAAACGTAATTCGCGCATGCTTGCGAAACTTCTCGTAACATCAGACACGATTAAAACTAACTTTCCCTATGGATTTTTCCCCCAAGACAACAATAACCTCCCCCAAGACAATAACCATTCTTACATGTATTTCTCATTTGTATTTAATTTGGATTTCATCAATCATTCATCTAAACGAACAAAAATTAAACAATAAATCATCAACTTCTTTTCTAGCTTAAAAAAGTTTCTTTTCAACAAAGAAAATAAATTAACCAACGCAGTTAAATTTATCTCAAACGCAATAAATTAAAAACTTTGTAGTAAATTTCAAACAATTCAAAGCAGTAAATTAATAAAATGAATATAAGTTACAAGGAAACTAGGCTTTTTAAGTGAGCTTTTTTTTGTAAGTTTTAAATAGTCTGTTTACTCGCCCTTAATTCACGCACTATTTCCACCAAACTCGCAAAACTTGCCCTCAGAGAAATGTTTGAAAAATGATTTTCAAGTTTCAAAATCTAACTGATAACAACTATAATTTATTTTAACTTTCCTTTAACCCGGTTGGAAGGAATTATAAGTAAGCTTGAACTAGCCAACGCAGCTTACTTACCTCACAAAATCCACCGCATGTATAAGAAAGTCCCACCGTACTCAGACTAAATTAAACCCAGATTAAAACTGGATAACTTACTCCTATGAAACCCACTTTCAAGTTTTAATAAAACCACTTGAACAAAAAGTTGACAAGAAAAAAACCCAAAAGAAAACTATCTGTTTTTGATAAATGGACACAACTAAAGACAAAAGAGAGAAAACACCTCTTAAAAAGAACAGACAGTTGAACACAGAAAGAGACTCTGCTCAAAGACTCGGTGAAAAAATACTCCCGCACCGGGCTCACCACCCAGTATGACGTCCTATAGCATGCTCTATAGCCGGCCTAATCTAGCGCGCTACAACTGCGCTTATGAATCACACTGTCGTTTTGAGGAGAATTGCTTTAGGGTGAGCGACTCTTTACAAAAAACGGAAATTAAAAAACATTTTTGCAAAAACAATTAATAAACAACATATCTGAACTCATCTCACTCCAAAATTGGAATGGCAAATCTTTTGTTTTGTTGCCGTAGTCTTAACCCTCGCAGGATTTGAAGTATTTTCCTAACATCGCATCAAAAGGTTCCACTGAAAAAGAGCAATGGCCAACTCGATGTTGTTCTCACATACAAACCCGAGTCGAGATTTTTCACCTAATTTGAAGCAAGATTTGAGCGGTTTGAGCGGTTTTTTTAGACAATTACGCTCAAAATCTTGCTTCAAAATGAGCGGTTTGAGCGGTTTTTGAACGGTTTATCTAAAAAAAAACGCTCAAAAAAACCGCGCAAGATTTGAACGGTTTTGAGCGGTTTATCTAAAAAAACCGCTCAAAAACGGCGCAAGATTTAATCATAAAAAGTCGACCACAGAGGGATTCGAACCCGCAATCTTCTGATTCGAAGTCAGACGCCTTATCCGTTAGCCTATGTGGACTTGATGAAAGCTTAATATTCGCTGTATTTGTTCTACTGAATATGTTCAATGTTTTAGACATGCACAACAAATATACTTGTGGATTTTTATTGTCAGTCTCTACAAAATAACAAAAATAATCGATTATAAGATTGCATACCAACCCCCCCCCCCACCTCTTACTAGAGTTGATGTCCCCCCCCCCCCCCACCTCTTACTAGAGTTGATGTCCCCCCTCACCTCTTACTAGAGTTGATGTCCCCCCTCACCTCTTACTACAGTTGATGTCCCTAGTTGAGGGGGTACGTTGGCGGGGGAGGGGGGTAAGTTGGGGCGGGGGGGGGTGGGGTTGTTGACGTGAGTTACCAACTGGGACCTCGACCCGGGAAGACCGCTCAAAAACCGCTCAAATCTTGCTTGAAAAACCGTTCAAAAATCACCGCAAGAAATGAGCGGTTTTTGAGCGATTTTTTAAGCAAGATTTGAGCGGTTTGAGCGGTTTTTCCAAAAAAACCGCCCAAACCGCCCAAACCGCTCAAACCGCTCAAATCTTGCCGGAAAACCGCTCAAACCGCTCAAATCTTGAGCGGTTTTTGAGCGGGATCTCGACCCGGGAATCCTAGTCATTTGCCACTTCACACAGAAAGTTGAAACTTCTTCCTGCACGTATTCTCGCATCGAAATCGACTCATCGACACATCATTGCAACGACAAATCATTGCATCGATCTGAAATCTTGACACGAGACCCACTTCTGGCACACGAACATCTGCCTTCCTTTTCTCTACGAAAATAGCTACATCTTTCCTTCCTTCACGCAGTCACTGCTCCAAACGCTCAAACGAAAACTACTCCAAAGAACAGAAATCTCTCCATTCATCCTTCATTACAATAACCAATTTGAAAACTAAAAACTCTTTTAAACCCGGATGGATGGAACTAGTTTAAAATTAGTGTTTATTACCAATTATATTCTTGACAAAACTATCTCTGTAAAATATTTCTTATTAACCAATCATGATCCATAACTAACACTGACAACTATTTGTAATGCTGAAACGACTTGTAGTTTCAGCACCAAAACAATTTGAACAAATCTTAGAAAACAGTTGTTCTCCTTTAGAACAAGTTACATAAACCTAATTCGCAAATACCAGCATACAATAGATCTATTGAGACTAAAAAATATAAGAGTAAGATTAAGATTGGTATTAGTCTAAAAAGTTGCACGTATCTATGCGGCCGAAAATAAGATAGCGCGACGAACAGACGGTGTACCTTATCTGAAATTAATCTATGAGTAAGCTACCTCTGACACTTCAACTCAATAGCGCGAATTGTATCCCTCGTTAATTGTCCTAATTTGGCCCCCATATTTTTACGAAAAGTGATCACAGGTGAAATATGTTTTCAAATTTGAGCTCGTGATAACAATACCTTTCGAATGATATTAAAAATATCCCGTCAAAAAAAGGCTAGTTAAAAAGTCAAAATTTGTCTGAAAAAAACCCACCCCGAGCACGAATATTCCGTTACTTCGTTACGAAAGTCGGAAAAACAAAGTTTTGGTCAAAAAAGGCTAGTTAAAAAGTCCAATTTTGTCTGAAGAAAAAAATCCACCCGAGCACAACTATTCCGTTACTGTCGTTAGGAGAGTCGGAATTAAAAATTTTGGTCAAAAAAGGCTAGTTAAAAAGTCGAATTTTGCCTGAAGAAAAAACCCACCCCGAGCACAACTATTCCGTTATTTTCGTTAGGAGAGTCGGAATTAAAAGTTTTGGTCAAAAATGGCTAGTTAAAAAGTCGAAAATTGTTCGAAGAAAAAAAACCCACCCCGAGCACCATTACTCCGTTATTTTCGTTACGAAAACCGGAACAACAATACGCACCCAATACGCAAATCAAGTCACTTCACCATATTTAAAAATTTAGGATAACAAAGTTTTAATGGATATTCGTATTATCAGTTTAACAGCATAAGCAATTATAAATGAAGATGAATAAATTAAATGTAGATGGTACATAATAAGGACGCAAATGAAACTGCATTTCGTAGTGGTCAATTCCAGTTTTGTTTCACAGTCAAATCAGTAGTCTTGCTCAGTGAAATTATGTAATATCCGATTGAAAAGGGTAATCGCGAACTGTCTTTTTGCGACAAAATACATTCATTCAGTTTCGGTGTGTGTGTTTCTGTGTTTGATTTAGTAGTTCACTATTTGGGACTGTCTTTTGTTCAGACGTATCTCTGGTTCTCGGGTAGGACGTATGGGTCGTGTTTCACCAGTCCACAGTCCTCGATTATGATGAGTTTCTTGGGAGCATGCACTTCGTTTGTCTCCATACTGTTGATCTTCTTGATCAGATCCTGAAACAACCAACACAGCCAACTTCACTTTTGCTTTCATTTTATGCTAGTGAAATATTTCCATCATTTAGTTCTGCAATTTGAAAAAGGGAGCGAAAGAAACACTCTCTACTGTTCTTTTTCAGTCTAGCCCTGCCATCGGACTCCACTTCGAAAGTGGAAGCGTAAAATGAACACCTCCACCCAGGAAGAGCTCTCACACAGAAAAAAGGTCAAATTTGAGTTCGAGTGAACTGTTTCTTTTTGCACCACGCAAGTCTGCTTAAATTCAGCCACACAAATCAAATTACAAATAAATAATTCTTCTACAAAAACATCACTTGAGAGAGCACCATAAGAGTGACTTAAGCCTGTTTTCAGGCGATTCAGAGCGAGAATCAAAGACGGTCATTTTTCGGATACCCTTTTAGTTAGGGGGAAAAACTTGGGATGAGATTTGGGATGAGAGCCCAACTTACTTACACAAAGTTTAAGGGAGGGGGGGGATTCTACCGTTTGGTAGAGTCAGAGTTGGCTCAGCAGAAAAAATATTCTAAAAGTGTGTTTGAAAAAGAACAGGAGGAAGTTTCACACTTACTATAGTTAAAATACTAAACACACCTTATTTATCAGGCCACTATTAGCTCGAATCCAACAATTGATGCTCGATGTTGTTCAGTTTCCTGCTTATGAATACTTTTTATCATTTTAGTAAACTTAGGGAATCAAAATGCAAACTATTGAGGGGCTAGAGTTCTAGCAGCAATCGAGTGTTTTGATGAAACATTGTACGTAGAAATTTGTAACAGGCTGCCTTTACCCATCGAACTGAAACTAATTTTGGGTTTGTTAAGATTGATGGTTTTGTTTTGTCACTATAAGTGCAAATAGTTTAAAACAAAACAATAACAGCATGTGTTGATTGTGGATGACACATTACATGTATGGCTGTTGGTGGGCTGTGGTTCTGTTCTGTTGAGTATGATTATTGTTGTTGCTATTATTTTGTTATACACACCATGCCCTCGACCACTTTTCCGAACACGACGTGTTTCTCGTCCAACCACCTCGTCCTCTGCATGATGATGAAGAACTGGGAACTGTTGGTGTCCTTCTCCCCCTTGTTCGCCATGGACACGTACCCTGCAATGCATCAAATAAGAGCCAATTCCAATTATTATTTTTACCATCTTCTGCATTCTGCAAACTGGCCCCAGCCAGAAGGAGCGCACAGTCGGGAGAAACATTCTACTTAATTCAAGGCACGTTCTTGGCCGAACTACTTCATTATTCCAAGAAATGATTGTTCAAAAAAGTATTTTTTTTTGCACAGGCGGCTCCAGAAATTTGGATTTGAATAGTTTGCAAAAGAAAAGAAAAAATTGAAGATGTCTCTACTTAGATTGCTGCATTCTGGAGTGCCGACTGCAGTAGCCAAAAAAATACTTTACGTTACGAGGCCAAACTGTGCACTGGATAGGCGCACAATTTAAAGTGTGTAGGTCTCTGGAATCCGTGGACAAGTCTTTAGACATGCTGAAATGTTCTCGAAAATACCTTCTGTGTTTTAGGTGGCCAAATTCTTGCAGACTACATATTGAGACAGTTGCCAATGAAATTAGCCAACACACATTGAAATAATCTTTTTTCTCAGATATCTCATTTTATCGCTATGAGTCACTCGCGAAAATTCGAGAAATTAATTCATGAAATAAGCAAAAACTGAATCTCAACTTTCAGTTTGAGACAAAATGATGACAAGAAGAGAGGAAATCGATTGTACTCAATTGGTGCGACATGCCACAATGGATGGGTGGCTAGAAAACAGACTGAACCCAAAAACATTGCATTACTTTCAAGGAAAAAACACTTTCTGTTTCTCTCTGAAAAAATGAGTAAAATCCGTGTTTTCAGAGAATAACTTTGCAGTGAAGCATGGATTTTAGAAGAAAACAGCGACCAATTTTGGTTATGTTCATGCGCTGTTTGAGTCTTTCCCGCACCGCACTGGATTATAATGAAACTAATTTTCTAATCAATAAAATCCGAATATAATCGATTATAATCGATTATAATCGATCATTTTTGAAAGAAAATGAAACTTGTTTTCGAGGCAAAATAATCCATTTTTAATCCATTATAATCAATTATAATGGATTTTTTCGAAAGGTTACTCTTGAAATTTACAATTTTGTTCAAAATTATCTCATTTCCTGTTTAAGGCAGTTGCTACGAATTACGTTTCATAAAATGTTACATTTCAGAATAAAATTTATATTTTTTTTGTCTCTACTTTTTTTTGATTCATCGCAATTTAACTAACACTTCATTTCACTGTTTTTTTAACCAAAACCCTAATGAAACTAAATTTTCAGGGGTTTGAATTAGATTTTCATAGCTTCCCCCACCGGAGTTCCATGGATAATAATTATAAGTTTTTTCAACCTAGTTTTTTTTAACCCCACCCCCCAGTTTACCGCTTACCGATAGTTAAGCCCCCAGTTTACTACCCAACCCCCCCCCCCCCCCCGCTTACTCCCCCTCCCACCATTTACCCTCCCCCAGTCCTCCATTTACCCTCCCCCACTTTACCCGAATTTATTTACCCAAACCCTCCCCCCCACCCCAGCTTCTCCCCTCCCTCTCCCCCCTCCCTCTCCCCCCCTCCCTCTCCCCCCTCCCTCTCCCCCCCCCCCCCCCCAGTTTACCCTACCCCAGCAAAAATAATCGAATTTAGTTCTAAAAATGAAATGGATTATAATGGATTATAATGAATTTTTATTTCAAAATAATCAATTATAATGGATTATTTTGGCAAAAATAATCGATTTCAGTGACAAAAACAATGGATTATAATCGATTATAATGGATTATAATGGATTTTTATTTTTCGAAAAAAATCGATTTTAATGACCACATAATCGATTACGTGGTCTAAATTTGCCACAATATTGGATTATAATGACGACATTTTAGACAACATTTTTACATTATAATCGATTATTATCCATGGAACTCCGATGCGGGTTGTTCACACTTGTTGGTGTGCGTGTGTGTGTGTGTGTGTGTGTGTGTGTGTGAGAGAGAGAGAGAGAGAGAGAGAGAGTGTGTGTGTGTGTGGTCTATCTGATCTGACCTGGTCCTGCGTGGGAGTGGTAGAAGGGTTCGTCGTTGAAGAAGGGTCCGTAGATGCTCTTGCCCCCACTCCCGTCCTCAGTTGTGATGTCTCCCCCCTGGATCACAAAGTCCGGCACACTCCTGTGGATCTTCGTTCCCTTGTAGCCGAACTTAGGCTGCAATCAACCACACAGCCCAGTTGAACTTATTGAAACTGCTTACTTGTAATTAACAGTATCTTCCGACCACTCTAGGAGATCGGAAAACAACTATGGACTAGGATCCGTTTTTGTAAAGTTTTTTCAGCCAATTCTAACTACTTCATGGGCTAAGTGAGGTACAAAATTAAGCCCCAGTGGCCTTGATTCGGATTCTTAAAACATTAAAGCAGAAGACTCATAGTCAAGAAAAACAGGTCTTCACTTTTCGAGTTTCATACTAAATTTAGACGAATTTTTCCGAGAGGCTGACCTCCCAACTTTACTTCTACCAGAATTCTAACGCTGTTTTTCAACGTTTTTTTAACTACTATTGCTACCAATTTCTTATGTTTTTTAACTAACTCAATTGCGTTTTATAGAATAACAAAACAGCGAATTTACGCAAGAATTGCAACTCTTTTTTTTGATCTTCTACTTTTCAATTTTAATTCTTGTATCCAAAAACATCTCATTTTGGTTTCTTGTTATAATTTTGACAAAAATAATCTTTTTTAATTCTTCCAACTAACAATTCTTGTTAACTTCTGACAAATATAGTAATGCAAAGTTCTATACAAAAACAAGGAAAGCCGATTGCTGTTAAACTAGCACTGATTGTTTCGACCAAACTGATTTAAAAAAAGAAGTTCATACATGATTTTTTTTTCAAAACAATTCAATACTTTTTTAAATTTGTTTTTTTGGGAGCTCTTTGGTCAAAAAGTCAGTGCTATTTGGATAGCAATCGGTTTTCCTTGTTTACAGAATGCTGCAAAAGTAGAAAATGGAAATTGGGAGTAGAATTAATTGAAAAAGTTATGGGTAAGTGTGAGTGAACAAAAAAACACAGTTACCCTAATGAAGCAAAACTCTCATTCGAAAACTTAGCAATCCAAAATCAAATGATTCTAAAATTGTGCCGCAATTTCAAACGCCGAGGCAAAGATGTGCTTCACAAAAAGCAGCTCTATAAAGTTCAATAAGAAAAAGTAGAAATAAGAAAGAAGCCTCGAGTTCAGCTACGCCTCAGATTCGATCGGCGACCTAAAAACTATGAGGCTAACACGCTAAACATGCAGCCACGGACGCTTAAAAATTCACAAGCACTACCCGCAACCAAGCTTAGGCGTAAGTAATCGATTATAATGGTTTATTATGATGATTTTATGACAAATATATTTGATTATAATTACCAAAATTAGGTGTCTAAGAATTTTATAACTGATCATAAGCGTGATTTTTTCCAGGACATTATAATATCTTAAAATCGATTATAATTGATAGTAATTCTTACAAAGAACCCTTAAAATTGATTATAGTCGATTATAATCAAATATAATTTTTAGTTTTACCAAAATTTTGTCAAACCAAAACAATATTCGAAATATTTCTTAAGGGTTATTATTTTTGCGTCAAAAATAAAATCTCTATAAGATCTCTTGAACACTTTGGTTCATCTGCACACAAAGTTTCACCAAGAAACAAAAGTTTCACAGAGATCCTTTCATTTTATTGGAAAGGTTCCCGCGGTAGATGAAAAATAATTTATCCGAATCAATCATGAAACTAAATCAATTAGCTGATTTTTTGGTGATTAAAAAAGCATAATATGCATCACAAAGCAAATCTAATGGGGAAGAAATGAAAAAAAAACGTTATAAATTTGAATTGATTGGAAAATTTTAAAAAACATTTTGTCTCATTTTTCATAGGAACCAACGTCTATAAAAAGCATAAAATGCAAGCAATTTACATGCAACTTTGAAGTTAAAATGGACAAACAAAAGGGATTATAATCAATTATAATCGATTATATTGGATTTTTGTGCAAAACTAATGAATTAGAAGTTTGAATAAAGATAACGGATTACAATCACCTATAATTGATTATATTTGTATCAAAAATTAGACGAATAAATAAACGATTATAATTGATTGTTATGTATTATAATTAATTATAATTTGATTTTAAAAAGAAAGATTATAATCGATTGATAATTGATTAAAATCAATTGTTTCTCAATTTTAGTATGACTGGTACTAAAATCGTAACATACCCTATTATTAACGCTTGAAACTGGATGCGGGAGCCACAAATAAAGCAGTAAACAGATGCTATGAAATTTCCAAAGCTACAGATCGTGATTATAGCAAAAGTGCCACCAAATAAGTGAAAATTTTTAATGAACCATTTTTTTGCCAGTTAGGTTAGAAAAAAGAAGGTTCGTACTAATACACTCACACTCGCTATATCGAAATTGTAATAAATAATTATACAGAAAACACGCTGAGGTTACATCCACAGGTTGAAAAACTCAACTTCAAACCAATCTATAATTGATTTGGTTCCATCAACTTATTCTTCAAAGATCAACTTTTTGTTGAATGGTATCAGTTCTATTCTTATGCAAGCGTTTGTTTTGGATGCAGATTGAGAAAATATTACTGAGGAAACGTGAAAAATGATACATATTTTTTTTGTATCACAGTTTTTCGTGCTTTTCTTTTTACGTGTATGAAAATGGGTTGGATGGAAACTAATTAGAGTATTCCGTACATCGCCCCTGTAGTTGCCCTTGGCGAGTGCTGCAAAGTTGTTGACAGTGTTGGGGGCAGCATCTCCGAACAGAGCAATGGAGACCCTCCCAGCTGGCTCCAGATCCACAGTGAAGTCAAAGTACACAGTCTTAGTCACCGTCCACTTGTCCTCCTCGTCCAGCTCTGGCTTGTCGTCGTCTGCATCTTCTCGGCCCATCATTTTGCCCACCGCTGATTGGCTGCCCAACATAGCCAAGAGGACGAGCACCGACGAAACATTTGTGGCAAATTGGCCCATATTTTGCACGATCTTTAAAACAGTTGCAAGATGAGTTTTTGTTTTCAATGATGACAATTTAATATATGACAGAAGTTGCTACTTCTGCTACTTTTCGTGAAATAAAATGAAAGAAAATACTTCGTAATTTCACGAAAAATGGCCTTAAGTTGGAAATGTTAGAAAATTGTACCTTGAAGTTGACCTACTTTATAGTTGTTATGAAGAGTAACTAGTTGCAATTTCAGATTCAGATTCAAGTGAGAGACCAAACAAAACTTTTTCTCTCGTGATAACCGCTTCTAACAAATACACCATAACATACCACACACTTCCAACACGAAGTGAATTACATATCACACGCATTGCTTGCTCCAACTTTCCATTGTTATGCAAGGCCAAATGTTACAAACACGCCACGAATGCCTTAATCGTCGTGTTGTATTTCACTGGCGACACTGGAGGAGATCCCGGTGATCTTTTGTTCGAAACATTTATAAAACAACAGATTATTGAGGAACACGTAAGCAATACGTGTCCGAACTGGTTTCTTCACTTGGAAGAATGGTACGCCACTAAAACATATCAACTGGCACCTAATAAACTAGCGAATAGGAGAAGAATGCATCTGCAGCCACTCCTGATAATTTCTTATTCTAATTTTCTACTTGGTTTTCGATGGTTTAGAAGAACCTATTGAGTTCTTCGTCTTCAAGGTCTATATATAAAGGTCTCTCTGACATCGAAAATAGTTTCATTTAAAGATATCAGAATAAAATATATAAAAAGAACAGAAAATTACAAAATTTGAGAAACACTCAAATTGAGTTGAGTTAATACAAATAAGAAAATGATTAAATTTAGAAAAATATGGAAAAATTACTCTTTCAAAAGATTTTCATCTTTTATTTCAGATGTGATATTGTTACATCGGAATTAATTTCATTCGGATACACCAGAAAAAAATCTTCAAAAAATGGAAAGTTCCAAAAATTGCGACACTCTCAAGTTGAGTTTGAAACAAATATAAAACTGACTACAAAAAAAAACTGGAAGCTGTTCTGAAAAATATCTCAAAAACTTCTAAAAGTTGGCACTTTTTTTCTGAAAAATGACAGGCAAGTTGAAAATGATTTTTGCTTCAACACAAAAACTTGAATAAATTTTACGACTTAAATGGAAAAAAGTTTTAACAAAACTTTAGAAACTCTTAAAATGAATTTATTGCAAAAATAAAACTGTAAACAAGAAATATGGAAAGGATGATGAGAAAAATAACCAAAACGCACAAAACTTTATTAAATATGACATCTACTTTATTTCTGAAAATGACATAGCGAGGTTGAAAATAATTTTGCTTTTAAAACGAAAACTTGAAAAAAAATTTACGAACTACAGAAAAATGGTTAACAATTTCAAAAATCGAAACTGAAATGTGTCTGATTTTCCTGAATCAAAAAATAAAAACAATGTTGAAGGAATTCTTGTACAAAACAAAAAAGAAACAGAAGAAATGATGTTCTCAATTTATCAAAAAATACTTTAAACGAACTCGAAAATGAAGACGACAAAAATTTGAAAAACCATTGAAAAGTCCAATTTGTTCAAAGTTTTACTCTCTTCAAAAAAATAAGTTTAAGAAGTTTTTTTGAAAAAAGAATAGAAGATTATTTTAGTAAATTAGAATTTTGAATGATCATTGAGGTCCTTCTACAAAAACTGTAGATCTATTTAATAGATTAAGATCTATTTAATTCATCCAATGTTTCATAGTTTTTTTTCTTTAACGGGGAAACTTTTTATGAAAAAATTCGGACCTTTATCAGGTTGAATGTAAAGTTTGCTGTTCTCTCATGATTGATTTTCTCTTGCAGTTTCATTTATCGAAAAAAATCTTTACTATTTGTTAATTTTAGGCGAAATTTGAGTATGTCCCATTTAAAGTTTCTAATCGGTGAGCGTTTTTGAAGCTTACCTCTTACCTCAACATTAAAATGATAGAGGTTTGACAATATCATACATCATCCAACATCTCTCCCAAACTTAGGTGTTGAGCAATTTCTCAAAACTCCAGTGAATCCGGTGATTACAAAGATAAGTGTTTTGATGACATAGACTTTATCTTTACAGATAAAAAATATCAAATCTACTGGGAAATTTCCACGAAGTTTTTGCTTTTTCTATCAATGAATTTGATTACAACCACCAAAACACTTCACCGAAATTTCTGCTGATCGTCATAAATTGAACAGAGTGTACGTAAATACATAGAAAAACACCATTGTGTACATACAAAATCGAACATAGTGTACATAGAAAAAAGCATAGTGTACATAGGACCTTCAGGATTTGGAACTTGCATCATCTTCAAAGAGTGGAAAAAATGGACCAAAGGAAAAAGGTCAGTACATTGTTTCCAATATTCAAGACCAATATTATTGAAAAACTAACCCTCATTGTTAGAGAAATATTGGATAGTTCTACAATTCCACAATTAATTCGAAACTTTTTGGTGTACAATGTACTTAGAATACCAATGACAGAGACTCACTTCGGGCTTGTTATGATAAGAGGCGTATGTGACAATATGGAATATAAATTTTGACCGGGACAAAGTGATTACCGGAGAAAAGGACAAAGATGGAACGAATCAAACCGCTATTCAAGAAATAACATCTTGTAATGCAATGGAACAGGTTCTCTTCACTTCTCCGCGTGCTATTGAGAAGAGAAAATTAAATTTTAAATTCAGTTTTAATACTTTCGCGATTTTTTGTGCCGATGGTGTCTATTTTAAAAGTTGACTCCGAAATGGAACAGATCAGAAAATTCATCCAAGTTGTAGTTAAAAATCGCTTGGATGCCCATACACTTAGACCTTAAAAGGACAAAAGTTATCGTTCTAGATATCAAAAATTTTCCATCCTTTACTTTTATAGTTAAACTATTTTCTTTTAAGTTTATTTCCGTTATATTTGAACGTTGCAGAACAGTCAGAAAATTTTTAAACCTATTTCTGCTCAGTTTTTACAAAAAACTTTCAAACTTTTTGTCTTTTCTTCATTTAACATCAACAATATTCTGGAAAACGAGTGAACTGTGATATCACTAGCACCAATTTAATCACAGAAGCAAATTTAGCTTTCAAACTTCAAGTCAACTGAAATGAGATATCAATCAGTAATGAACAATAGATTGGTAAGAACAATCAATTTTTTAAACAAAACTGATTTAATGCAATAAAATTTTTCACCTTAACTTCCGATATTAATCTCAAACCTTCCAAGGAATATTCCGAAATGATTTAAATTTTTGTCATCAGTCTCATACAAGCCAATTCAGATTATTTTAATCTTAGTTAGTTTAAACTTATAAACGAGTGGTGGTGCAAATTGGATATTCGTTGAATTCAAAACAGGAGAAGAAACACGAATGTTCTGAGAAGAATGATTCCTAGGTTTCAATGAAGTGAATAAAACGTGAACTCCACTATTAGATTTCGATTGGATCTTAAAAAAACTTTGTTGGATTTTTTTCCCAGCAGGATAATAGAATGTTCAGTAACAGCTTTCTTGTTCTTAAACACATAAACCTTTTGTCTCGTCATTTTTACAAATACATCCTTAAATGGTAAAATTTTTTTTCTTCTTTCTAAACTTTTTTCCTGTTTATACAAGGAGAATAAACCATTTTATCATTAGCATAAGCTGATTTTAATTAGGCCCTTTAGTCTTTTTTCAAAAAATAGTTCCACCTGTCATATATATATAAATATATATAAATTTAAAACTGGTTTTTCAGTTTTTGTATGTCCAAAAAAAAAATTTCAAATTTCAATGGCTGATTATTGAACAACTAATCAAAATTATAGAATTATTAAATTTTCGATGTTTTGGATGTTTTTATAGTTGTTTTGTCAGTCATTTTATTTTCATATTAACAATCATATCTTCTATTTTTCTTTTCTCCTTGTTATTTTTAGGTTCACAAAGGAAAGAAATTCCTTAAACATAGTAAAACACAAAATTGCTTCTAAAATTTTGTTAAATTTTTGTTGATGGATTTTTAAAATTTATTTTTTGTCGCTTAAAATTGTTTTTTTGATATCTCAATGTTTCATTTTGGTTAAGAAAACGAAAGCTGTTTTTTTTTGTTGTTAAAACAACTTTTCAAAAAAAATTTTAAATTCGTTTTCGTGTCCATTAAAATTTAGGCAGTTTTTCGAAGTTTTTGATTTATTCTCTTTCGTCCTGAATTTGTTAATGTTTGGCGTTTTCTTTTTTATGTCAGTTTTTTTGTTAATGATTTCTCAATGCGCATTATCAGATGCAAGCACAAAACTTCTTTTTTTAAAAAAAAGTTTGAAATTATTATTATTATTTTGTTTCTGAAAAATAAATGACATTTCAAGTTTTAGCTTAAATCAGACTTTTTCAGTTTTTGATGAGAAAAAATCGAAGATTTGGAACTCACATCAAAATGTTTACCTTACCAAAAGAAGATTAAAAGATTAACAAAACTGGGAGATCTTCACTGTCAGTTACCTTTCGCTGAAATTTTGGAAAAAATTGCTGCTCTAAAACATGATAGAGAAAAATTTAAGGAAAATTTTTTCTGGACTTTTTTGAGGTTATTTTTACTAATAATCTATACTGAAATTGTGAAAACTTGTATCACATGACTTTTTTAATCAAGCGTCTGCTTGTTCATAGTACATGTTGTTCATTTTTTTCTTATAACAAAAGCAGCAAACACTTTTTTACCTTGTAAAGCCATCTGAAAACTTCAGGTGTTTTTACTTGCTTCATTTGACTGTGTATAACAAAATTTTTGCCGCTCAATGATGTTTGCGATATGTACAAGTTGGTCGCATTTGAGGCGTCAGTTTTCTTCTTGGACTGAAATTTGAGTTTTCTCTTCTCATTAACACGCAGAGAAGTGAAGAGAACCCGTAATTTTGCAATCATTACACGATGGTTTCTATTGAACAGTGGTTTGAGTCGTTCCATCTTGGTAATTTTCTCCGGTAATCACTCTGTCCTAGTCACTTTCAAAACTCCATATCATACGCCTCCTGAACCATAACAAGTCCGCACTGATTTTTGGTCATTGATTGCTTGTAAACATCCTTCTCAAAAAATTGTGATACCCATTGTGGAATTGTAGAACTATCCATATTTTCTCTAATTTTGAGGGTTCGTTTTTCAATATCGTTTCGTTGGAGTAAAATTACATTAAGAATTTTTCCTCTTCATTACTCGAATCCATTGTACCATCATAATCAATGTACTCCGCAGAAGTAGCCTCGCGATTCGTTGCCACATTATCATGTGACTATTTTCGTTTGGTCCACTTTTTCCACTTCCTGAAGATCCTTCATTTTCTTTTTCCTGCAGGTCCTGTGTACATTATGCTGTTTTTCTAGATTCAACATGTTCGTTTCCGTTATGTACACTATGGTATTTTCTTTGTACCTATAAAAACTTTGTTCGATTTTTGACGACCAGCAAAAATTTCAGTGAACTGTCTTGGTGGATCTAATGAAATTCACTGATAGGAAAAGACAAAAATTGAATTTCAAAAACGCGGGGTTAGCTGCAGTATTGAGAGATGAATGAACACGTAAGTTTGAGAGAGATGTTGGTTGATGTATGAAGAGACAGGATTCAAGCACAAAACTTCTTTTTTTCTAAAAAAAACGTTTGAAATTATTATTATTATTTTGTTTCTGAAAAATAAATGACATTTCAAGTTTTAGCTTAAATCAGAATTTTTTTGAGGTTTGCGTTGGTGTTTAAAAGTTCAATAAATTTTTCAGTCTTTTGATGAGAAAAAATTGAAGATTTGGAACTCACATCAAAATGTTTGTTCATGATCATTGTTTGAATACGAAAATCAATTTGCGGTTGAAAAAAAAACACAAAAAATTTTTGTCGTCGCCATCAGAAAAACGCTAGTCATACAATTTCCATATATGGAAATTGTATGACTAGTGTTTTTTTTCAGAAAACAAAAATAAAAAAAGTCAAAGTTTTCAGTCGTAGCAGCCCAAAAAACGCTTAAATGTTTTGCCAGCAGTTGAATTGATTGTTCAAAGCTTTTTTTTCACAAAAAAAAATTTTAAAAAAAATTCTAATCATACAATTTCTATATATGGAAATTGTATGGTCAGCATTTTTTTTCATACAATTTTTTTTTCCTTTTTTTATGAAGAGATACCAATTTCGATACCAAAACAACTATAAAATACCTTTGAAATTCGATTTGACTCATTTTGCAAAAATGTATGAAATTCGTATGAATAGCGTTTTTCCATAGACTAAGTGTATGCAATTGTATGATTAGCATTTTCGGTCTATGGAGGTCAACCCGGGAAAGGTATTCACAAGCATAATATTTTTTTTCTCATGATTTACTTTTTTTAACAGCTCAAAAACTTCAAGGGGTGTTTTGAGGATTCATGAGAGGTTTTAAAGGTCTTTCAAGGAGTATAGTAGTTTTTTTGAAAGAGAGGCGAAGCTGCACTTGGCATACTAAAAAGAGAAAAGGACGACAGGCAGATCTAGGAAGAAGAATAGGAGGTAAGAAAAAGTGATGAGTATGAAAACTTGGAACTGCCAAACTGGGGATAATGAGTGTTAGGTAATCACATCTCCGCCATGGCCATTAAAAATTGCCAACACTAGCTACACTGAAACAACTACTAGATGCAGATGCTAATAATTCAGAACAAATGCCACCGAATATAAACTAATAATGTGTCTTCATAAAAAGTTCAACTCAATAATTTTTCAACTCAATAATTCAGGATTCAATGAGAAATTGAGCTAGATAATGAAATAAATAATTAGGAAATCAGCTGGATAACGAATTAGTAATTCAGAAAAAAAGTTTTGTTCAGTTTTTCTGATTAGAAAATAAAGCTCAAATATTATTAATTAATGAAGGAGATGGTAGATAAACTTGAAAATTTTTTAGCTCATAGAAATTGTTTTGGAAAACTCTGAAGAAAACATTTGTTTTGAAACTCCAAGAATTAACGTTGAATTCGACAAGGAGTCTAAACAATATCAGATGGTTGCTGCAACATGCACAGATTGTGCTGAAAAATTGATTAAGATAAAAAGATTTAAAAAAAAACGAAAAAAATAGTACAAGCAAAAACAAACATTTTATTTTTACAATCTTTGCAGTCTAATTTTCCTGTTATATTTTGTCTGGAAATTGTAGTTGAAATAGGTTTCAAATGGACGAAAACGCGGAAACAATATATTTCGAAAATGTTTGAAACTTAAAGATGACTTTAAGCAGGGAGGTCAGCTTCTCTGCAAGTTCTCAGTAAAAAGGTAAAGAGTTGTTTCCCTTGACATCGAGACGTCTCTTTTTTTTTCCAAATCACGACCAATAGGTATTTAAAAAGCTACCACTCCTTACCCCTTACTATGTTAATTTGAGGTAGTCAGAACTGGCTTGAAGGTGTTAGAAAAACGTGCTCTAATTAATAGTTCCTTTCGACTCTTTGAGAGTGTTCGGAACAACACGGAGAGCCAGTTGCCGTAACCCGGGATGACCAAAAATACTAGTCATACAATTTCCATATATGGAAAAATGCTAGTCATACACTTTCCATACAATTCCATACGTACAGAAAATTGCATGAAAGGCCTATGATAAGTATTTTTTTCATATATGGAAAATGTATGACTAGCATTTTTCCATAAACCAAAAATATTGATTTCTTACATTTTAATTTCTCAAAATTTTTTGGTTGTGTTCGTAACCGAAAAAATGACGTAAGCCTTGATTACTCAAACGTAGTAACCAACGGTTTGACCGTCTCGCATTTACAATGCATTGGAAACAGCCTGATATGTGTTACTTCTGTCGCAGACAAATGATATCACGAAAGTAAGGAACTTTTAAATTTTGGCAATAATTTTCAAAGATGATTATTTCTAAAATTTGAATTTTTAAATTACCAGACATTGAACAAGGCATACAAGCACATTTCATACAAAAGAAAGAGGAGTTTTAAGCGTTTTTGAAAAAAGTTATGAAGAGAAAAGGAAAAGAAATCCAATTTTAGTATATCCAGGACTACGTTATACACACAAAAAACTAAATTTTGCTTGCAAAACTTTTTTTTCAAAAAATGTTTGTTTGAATACGAAAATCAATTTGCGGTTGAAAAAAAAACACGGAAAATTTTTGTCGTCGCCTTCAGAAAAACGCTAGTCATACAATTTCCATATATGGAAATTGTATGACTAGTGTTTTTTTTCAGAAAACAAAAATTAAAAAAGTCAAAGTTTTCAGTCGTAGCAGCCCAAAAAACGCTTCAATGTTTTGCCAGTAGTTGAATTGATTGTTCAAAGCTTTTTTTTTCACAAAAAAAAACATTAAAAAAAAATTCTAATCATACAATTTCCATATATGGAAATTGTATGGTCAGCATTTTTTTTCATACAATTTTTTTTCCTTTTTTCATGAAGAGATACCAATTTCGATACCAAAACAACTATAAAATACCTTTGAAATTCGATTAAACTCATTTTGCAAAAATGTATGAAATTTGTATGACTAGCATTTTTCCATAGACTAAGTGTATGCAATTGTATGATTAGCATTTTCGGTCTATGGAGGTCAACCCGGGAAAGGTGTTCACAAGCATAATATTTTTTCTCGTGATTTACTTTTCTTAACAGCTCAAAAATTTTAAGGGGTGTTTTGAGGATTCATGAGAGGTTTTAAAGGTCTTTCAAGAAGTATAGTAGACTTTTTGAAAGATAGGCGAAGCTGCACTTGGCATACTAAAGAGAGAAAAGGACGGGAGGCAGATCTAGGAAGAAGAATAGGAGGTAAGAAAAAGTGATGAGTAAGAAAACTTGGAACTGCCAAACTGGGGATAATGAGTGTTAGGTAATCACATCTCCGCCATGGCCCTTAAAAATTGGCAACACTAGCTACATTAAAACAACTACTAGATGCAGATGCTAATAATTCAAAACAAATGCCACCGAATATAAACTAATATTGATAAGTAGGGCAATGAAGCTGGCCAGCTGATTAGAATTCTCACGTCCTCCCTCCGCGCACGCTCAGCTCACATGGAGATATTCAAACAGTAGCCATCAATAAAGCAGAGCAGACGCTATGAATTTTCCAATGCTTTAGATCGTGATTATAGCAAAATTGCCATCAAATCTGCACTTTCATTCGCGACGCTGGTTGGAAAAATACATACTATCACATTACGCTCGCTACCTGCTTTGGGTAATTACAAAGTGAACAACATTTTTCCTTTACATAATCTGAACAATTGCGCATTCTGTCTTTAAAACACATTATTTTCTGCGCGAAAAACAACTATTGGAGCTTTTATTTTTTATGTTTCACGTTTGAAAAAATTATATAATCTGTTATTAACTCAGCCAATCCTCCTCCGGTCTTTTACCTTGTAGCAAGAATTTCAGGCTTCAAAAGTAATCATTCGTCTGCTTTCATGAAATTGCTTCTAGTTAGCTTTCAAAATGTTTTGGAAGATGTTTCTTATTAATTTACTTTTTAATTCAAACAAATGTGCATTTAACAACACTCTATAAAAAGATAACTATGGACAGATAATAGAGAGTTCTTCCCACACAAACTACCATGCTGTCTGAACTGGCTTCTTCTTAGTTGTCAGTCGCTCCTTTGCCCTCTCGTAGCCCTCCCAGAAGTTATCCAGGTCAGTCGATGTCCCTGGACCAGTGCCTGCCACGTGATGATGGTGTCCAAGCAACTGTTCCAGTTTCGAAATGATTTCATAGTCTGGAACTGTGAGTGAACACACCTCCATGCCCATCACTTTCGCAACCAGTGCTCTGAACTGAACTAACTGTCGCTCACGTTTGGCCACTTCTTCCAGAGCACGTTTTGCGTGACTAAGCTGCTCAGCTAGCGATGAAATGTTCTCTTCCTTCATGTGAGTGCTGCTCTTGCACTCTTGGTCGACGAACTTGAGTTCCTGCTTGAGTCCAGCGAGCTGTTTGGCTTGTTTGTTTCTCGTCTTCTCCAGGTGGTCAAGTTTGTCCAACAGAGTTCGAATCTCTTCGTCTTTTTCCACCGTTCTCAATTTCACACTTTGAATGTCGGAGAGTTCTGCCTTCAAACTCGTTATCTGGACCTGCAGCACACACAACACACAAATGTAAAGGGGGGGGGGGAAGGAAAGCAAGTGGCAATGATTTTGAAATAGTTCAGATGCGAGTTGCACTCATTCTAGTTAAACACTGAAGCATTGGGGGATGTGCTTTAAGCCACGCCCATTTTCTGCTGCAGTTCATTCTAAGCTTCTTACGGTGAACTTGATCTCAATTTGAATGTTTCTTAAAGCTGGTGTAATCTGGATTGTGTGAGGTGTCAACTATAAAGCAACTGAACTGACCTTAAATCACAGTCATGACACAGCAGGGTCTATGCTACCTTTTTCAATGTGGGCGTCTTCTTAATCACCACACGATGCGACCGCATTGACCACAGCTGGTCAGTAAGCTGGGGTACAGGTTTGATTCTTTGTTTCATTACTATACTCATACTAGTCCCCCGGGTTGACCAAATTTTCTTATCATACAATTTCCATATATGAGAAACTTCTTGTCATACAATTTCATACAATTCCATACGTACAGAAAATTGTATGAAAACTCTATGATAAGCATTTTTCCATATGTATGATAGATGTTTTCCCATAAACAAAAAATTTTGATTTTTTCTTTCTAAATTTAGTTTCTGAAAAATTTTCGGTTGTAGTTGCAACCGAACACAAGTTACAAAAGCCTTGGTTACTCAAAACACCAAAGGTTGGACGGTCTTGCATTTACAATGCATAGAAAACGACCTGAATTTGGCTGTCTTTCACAATTGATATAACAAAAGTAACAAACTTTTATTTTTTGGCAAAATTTTTTAATGATGATTATATTAAATTTTTGAATTTTCAAATTATCAGACATTGATCAAGGCGTACATTAACACCCCATACAAAAGAGAGAAGAAATTTCAGCGTTTTTGAAAAAACAAATTAAGTGAAAAGAAAAAATTAAGCCAATTTTATTGTATCCAGGACTACGTTATGCACACAAAATAGTAAATTTTGCATGCAAAATTTTTTTTTTGAAAAATGTTTGTTTGCGTACGAAAATCGATTTGCGGTTGAAAAAAAAACAAAAAAATTTTTGGGCTAAATTTTCAAAACAACTTGAAAAATTTTTTGTGTCGCCACCAAAAAAATGCCAGTCATACAATTTCTATATATGGGAATTGTATGATAAGCATTTTTTTCAAAAAACGAAAACCTCAGTTTTTTATCACCAGATTGTTTTATTAGAATCAAACAGCCACAGAAATGAGTTAATACCAGTTTTCAACTATTTTTAGAAATTGTATGAAAATTGTATGACAAGCATTTTCCCACACACTTGATGTATGGAATTGTATGATAAGCATTTTCGGTGTATGAAGGTCAACCCGGGCCTCATATTACTTTTTTCCATACTTTTAAATAAAAAACTGCCTTATTGAAACGTTTCGTGTGACTTGGAAGCAAGAGAGTTATATGAGTAGAGCGGATGGGTGTGTTCACTAAGTGGCGGCTATGAGGTGCCTTGTGTTTGTTTGTTTGTTTGTTTGTTTGTTTGTTTGTTTGTTTGTTTGTTTGTTTGTTTGTTTGTTTGTTTGATTGTTTGTTTGTTTAGATAATGAGTCATGAGAAATGGGAACAGTGTTGTCTGGTGGGAGAGGAGTTGAGTGGTGGCTGCAGCTGCAGAATGACTGACTGGCGGACTGACCTTGCAGTCGCCCAGCTGAGCCCTGAGTCGTTCGTTCATCCTCTCCATCTTCTTGCTCCTGCCCTCCAACTCCTCCTTCTCCCTCCACACCTCCATCCTGCCCCCACTCTTCTCCTCCAGAGAGGCCACCTTCTTCCTCATCATGTCCAGGTGCAACTCCTTCCCCTCCAACTCCTCCTTCAACTGCTTCACCTGCCACACAACACAATACAACACAACACACTACACATGACAACACAATACAGTACAGTAGAGTAGAGTAGAGTAGTGCACAGGGCAGATGAGTCAATTAGCCGACCAAAGTTTCCCTCCACATTATTCACATTGCTGATCAACAATGACAACTACTCTGCTGTCATCTAAACAGCACCTTCAGCTACTCACCAGAGCAACAGTAGAACAAAGGCAACTTCCATGTGAGGAAAAGAAGAACTCTCTCCATCTCAAGTTTCTTCTTTCTCCCGCATCTGTGAACTAATTGCCACTAAGCCACAGGTAACGAGCAAACTCATTTCCCATTCATCGCTAATCAATTCAGTTCAGCGATCGATCTCTGTATCTTGCGCATTACATTAATGCATATGACTTGAACAAAACCTTAATATTCCTAAGTAATAAAATCTACTCTCATTCGGTGGTCTCATACTAATTACAAGCTTTTAATTAGGTCAATCTATTGTATTTTTGGAGACCAAATTCAACGTAGCAAAAAATGCATCCATTATCGAATGCTATGCTTGCTAGAAGACAAGCGTACCTTTCGTTGGAGCTGGTACATTCCAGACGTCTTTTCAGCCAGAGCCGAGTCTTCCTTCTCCACTAGAGACTTCACTCGGTGAAGAACTGCATCGGAACTGACATCTAGACCCAATTCCCCACTTATGGACTCCATCTTCAGCAATTCGGACAACTTGGCGATGAACTGGAGAAATTTGACCCGCTCGCCGTGAGTGGCCGGGGAGTCCTCTTGAGTCGTTTTGTGAGCCGACAGTTTCTCCAGGAGCTCTTCGTACTTCTGTCGTTCTTCTGCGATGAGGGAGCTAAGCTCGCTCTGCTTCACTTCTAGGCTCTCAACTGTGAGTTGTCGAGACCTCCAAAAACAAAAAACTCTCAAAAAGTTATAAGTCAATCGTTTCAAAAACTAATTGTTTCAAATTCATTTTAGAGCCACAGAACTAGCGACGAGTGAAGAAAAGAACGCCCATTGTTTTTGAAATATTTTTAATCATCATTATCATGGGACATCCAAAACTTCAGTCCATTTTGTTATTTCACAAAATGTGGACAATGTGCAAGGCTGCAAAGTAACCTGTAGTCGTTTAGAAACTCTTTCAGTCGAATCACAATGCTGTCATCTGTTTTGTCCACGAACTGAAAGCTACACGACAGCAGCGCCGCTATGTTTTCTCGCAGATTCTCGTATTTGCCCTTCAGCGAATCGTATCCAGTTCGTTCGGCCGAATGGTCCTTTCGAATAGTCACGAGTTCACTTCGCAACGACTCAATCTCCGCATGCAACTCGGCTACTTTGTCCTCGTGCTCACTAATTGTTGTTTCATGAGTCGCAATCAGAACTTTGAGTCGCTCCATTTCCCCAACGGCTGCTGACTTTTCACCGTCGATAGTTGCAATTTGAACTCGCAATTCTGTTTCGCTCTGATGCGTTCGTTCTGTCTCGGCAACCAGTCGCATTATCGTCTCGCGGCCAGCTTTAACTTCGGTTTCCGACTGCTCAAGTACCGAAGTCAGCCTCACAATCTCGGCCTTACAAGTCGTGAGCTCTGCTTGCGCCGAGTCTCGTTCGGATCGCAACTGTTCGATCTTCGCCGTGAGCTCACCGACATCGTCCGGAATGCGAGCATCCCAAGCTGAAGAACTTTCACCGAGGGCTGACAACACGGCGATGTAAAGCTCTCGTCTTTTGCAGACCGAGTCGCCTTTTTCTCCCATTAACGAGTTCTTAATTACCTCCAACTCAAGAATGATTTCTTTGTACTTTGCAATTTCACTCTCAAAACTTGATTTCTCGCATTTCAAAACTTCTACTTGGGAGCTCAAACTTCTGGCTTCTTCTTCAAACTGGGTAATTTTAGTCTGCAAGTAACTGGTGTCTTCCCGAAGAGTGTGGATCAAGCCCGCCTGTCGACTATTGTTCTCGGAAAGACGATCTCGTTCGCATTTGAGGATGGAGTATTCGCTACTGGTAGAGTTTAGTTTCTCTTTCAACTCCCTCATGTCTGCCTCTATAGCTTGTAGCTTTGCAATCGTGTCTGTTAGCTCTTCACGTGCTTGATGAGCCTTCATTCTGTACTCTTTCACCATAGAGTCCCGAACATTCAGCTCGTACTCTTTCTGCTCACGCTCGTGTTGAGTCAAGTTGTCGCTTTTCCTCAAGTCGTCCACCAGGCGCTCCTTGCGCTCCACTTCCTTCCGGTACCACTGGATCTGGTCTTGGATCTCGTCCTGCAGTTGTCCGGTGGAGACGACGAGGCCATTGTCTCCTCCTCGGCTGCTCATTGTAGTTGTGTAGGCGTGTGTGTTTCCTGCAAATGATATGCAAAATCAGAGAGAATTCATCTTATATTCGCAATCCATTTTCGGATAAAGCAAGAAGAGTTGTGTTGAAGGAAACTCTTAAGCATATTCAGAAAACGAAATGGAAGCCCCAAACACATTTGTCAGAGGCGAAGCTGAGCGTTGCACCACTTTACATACAACAAGTATAGGATAAAAACAACATCATGCTGAAGAAGCAGCAAAGATGACTTCGAGCGACGAAAAATTGAAACAAGGACGAGATAAACAAACATTTTTAAAAATGAAAAAAGTTTTTTCACGATTAAAATTATTTGTGTTTGTATACAAGCTCCTTGTGATGTTGATTTTAAGTGTTTCAAAATACGGATCCAGAGTCTTATCGATCTTAAAAATAAAACCAGACGTTTGTAGGAAACAACACTGGATAGAAAAAAAACAACCGACAGTCAAAAGCTGAAAAGCATCCGAAATTGCTGCCCACATGTGCTTTATATGGAGTGAATGCAAGGTGGTATATTCAATTTGGAAATTAAACTATCCGACAGAATTAAGTAGACACCCATAAAGCAGAAAACTTGTGATACAACCTAAAAAAGCAAACTAAACTAGTAGACAGAAACTGAGACGAAAGCCGCTAAGTAAACGAAAAAATGTGATGGTATCGAGGAAAGCTAGATCTACCAACAAAAGAAACGGACGAGAGCCAGAAAACCAGAAGTTTTCCCTGCCGAAGAAATGTCTCTACGGGATTCGAACCACAAGTTTTTATTGCCTCAATCATGAATGTTATCTCTAGGGGAGACGAAATGGATAGTGAATACATTTTGAAATTTTTATAAAACACGAATTAAAGAGTCGAAAATTGATTTTATATAATAAAAAAATGACAAAATTTCATGCTCAATTTTCCTATTTTTAGGTAGGATTGAGAGAATGACTTAGCAATTAAAAACATTTTTGTTAGAGTTCAATCTTTACAGAACCAACAAAAATTAATAGAATAAAAAGATAAGGAAGACAAGCTGACAGATAAGAGGACATCAGAGCCAAAAATCTAGCTAACATTTTTGAATCCGAGAAAAATTAATTTTGTGATCAAAGTTGATTACGAGAAAAAGTAACCAATTGCGATACTTTATCGCAAAACGCAAAAATTGCTTATCACATAATTGAAAATAGAAATTTTTATCGTTGTAAGCGTGATTGTAAACCCTATGTAACAAACAAGAAAAGGGTCAGAAAAAATTAAAATTTGATCTCATTAATATGCATTTAAATCATAGAAAATTTTGAAGATAAATCAGATTTCGGGCAAAATTTCGGATAAAACGAATCAAGAAAAGGATCATTGTAGATCAGTTTTTGAACTCAAAATATGCAAGAAATTTATAGAGTTTTATCGATTTTTTGGTCTTTTTGTTTGGTCTTTTTTATGCTACAATACGCTATGGATGTAAAATGAAAAATGATAGGCAAAGAATAAATGCAATAAAAATTCGAAACTGATAAATCTCGAATGAAAAAAATTGATTTAAATCGATTTTAATCCGTTTTAATCCCCTTAAAAATAAAAACAAATTTAGACTGAAAACAATGCATTTAAATTGATATAAAATCGATTTCGATCAACTTTTTTTTAGCTGGGATTTAAGATCAATTTAAATCGATTTAAAATCGATCCAAATCAATCTTCATTTTTAAAATTTAATCTTCATACTATAATTTCATACTATAATCGATCTAAGTTTAATCAACGTACTTTTTACATAGTAAAATCGATCTAAATTTAATCAACGTACTTTTTTCATACCAAAATCGATCCTAATCCATTTTTGTCAGTGCGGGTAATCATGTAATATATTGGGAACAAATCTGTTCACAATAGTTATTTTGTACGCCACGCCAAACTTCATTGCATTATGACAATGTTAAATAGCCTTTTCAAAATTGAATTTGAAAGGGGGGGGGACTGGAAAAGAGCCAAAAATTGTTTGCCCAGCTGAAAAACAAATGTGTGGGTGGAAAAGACGGCTCTTTTTCCTTTCCCCCCACCAGCGAAATTTTATTAGTAAAATTTTGTTCACATGATCGGATTGTTACAAAAGTTGGTATGCGGACTAATTAGGCTATAACAAACATATTTGGTCTCCATACTTAACCTTGTAAACCTCCTCGTTACAACATAAAATTGGTGTATATTTGAGGTGGGGTGAAAAGGAAAAAAAGCCGAAAAGAGCCTAAATTGAAACTTACCAGTACAAATATGGGATCTGCCGGTCAAGAGGTTTCCGAAGTCATCTATGCTAATCTGTTCACGCCTACCTTCAGTCATGATGACTAACCCGTGGATAGATAGACAGGAGCCTGGATAAACTGTCAGGAAAAATCACCCGTTGAAATCAAAAGTGGAAAGAAAATATTATATTGAAAAAGCTTGCTTTAAAATCAACAATTTACTTTGGACAAATAAAGCGCAGCCAACCTGCATATGCCTCAGCTCTGATTTATTGATCAAAATAAAAAGCTTCTTTATAGCTCAAACGTATTTTACTATTCAGCAGAGCAAAAATGCTGTTTATTACACGTGCAAAAATAAACTGTTACAACAAAGAGTACATCTTTGAATGCCATATTGAGCATGTGGTTATGTTGAATGCTGACAAGTGGTTACAATGGTCAGAAGATAAAAGAGCGTTTGAAGACATGAAATTGTGCGTTTGTGTTGAGAAGATGAGCCCCTGTGTCCAGTTATAAGCTAAAGACAGAACTAAAAGCCCTGACGCAACAGCCATGAATGTTCCAGTGACCTGCGTAGGTGATGAGTTTTCTAAAAAGCGTCATTTCAGTTTGAAAACTCCGAAGTCAGTCTGCTATCACACCTGTAGATTGCCTTTCGTAAACAGCTCTTATTTACTGGTTTGTTTCAGTGAAAATGCTAAGCATGTTGATGCTTTCCGTGTATTGATCTTTCTTTTTGTTGTCTTCTTGGTTCACATATTCCAATGTTGAGTCGCATGTGGATTTGTGCAAGTGAAATAGCAAAACTAGCATGAAAAGCAGCTCTCATTGTACTTGCAGAGAAATCGTAACAGAAGGAAGAGTTATTGTTGCAACCATTTGAAAAACATGGAGGAACTTTATATTTGGGGTTTCGGTTTTTTCCTCTTCTTTTTTTTCCACGCAAAATCAGGTAGCACAAAGAAATCATCGGTATAGGTCGAATGATATATCGTTTTAAGGCCCATTTAGCCCAAAATCGAATGACATAAAAGTGTCGAGAAAAACCAGTTTGAAATTTTTAATCTTTGGTCTAATGTCAAGCTTAAAAGCTGAGGCTGAGCAGATTTGCAAAAGCTTATTTATGCTTAATTTAAGGCGTGAAAATTTAGTTTCAGTTCGATTAAAGTTAGTTTTTGGTGTTTTTAGCGCCAATTTGAGAATCAAAAATTTCAAGCAAAGACTTCAAAATTCGAAAACCTTCTGCCAAAAAGTTGAAAAAAACGTTAAAAAATTTATATGAATTTTTTAACATTTTTTTTTCGTTTTTCTAGTCATTTGTCTACAAAAAGTGTTTTCTAATTGACCTATTTTACTCTGCATGTCGAATATGCCTAGATTCTACTTTTTCGTTCAATCTTTATATCACACTCACACGCAGAAAAAAGGCTTTATATCACACGCAGAAAAAACGACACAAAATTTAATTTTTTTTTTGTATTTTTTAAAACTTTGATCGGAAAATTACAAAAGTAACGGAATATTTGTGCTCGGGTGGGTTTTTTTCTTCAGAAAAATTTCGACTTTTAACTAGCCATTTTTGACAGAATTTTTAAATATCATTTGAAACTTTTTGTTGTCTTGGGCTTTAATTTGAAAAGATATTTTATTGTGATCTTTTTCCGTAAACTTATGAGGGTTTAAAGATTGCCATTTTTGCCATTTTGACCAAATTGGGACAATTAACACGCGATATAATTCGCGCTATTAACGCGTAAGCGGAGATTTAATCCGTCTTAGAAATTGTTCCAAATTGGTTGAAAGAAGCTTATTTGCCATGATTGATTTGTTAAAAGGTGCGAAATCTATTGTTTTGTACTTTATATGGCGTGTGGGGGTTTATTTTCAAAAAAAAACATTCTCAAATTTCAGAAAAAAAGTTTTTCATTTTATTTTGTTTCATTTAATTTTTTTGTGTTGTTCATGTTATTACTGCTTCATAAACGTTAAAAGGCAGTCGGAACTTTAAGGGCTTCGCCCTGATACGAGCAGTCTTGTTTATGTTAGTACTTGTTTTATGCTTAACATTTCGTATGCTCAAGGTCACATTCAACCTGTTAATGTGTGTACACGTTCTCTTTGCAATAATTTCGGTTGCGCTGTACTCTTTGGGATTTAGCAGTTTCATTATTTGCTAAGTACTTTGTTTAACTCACCAAAACGGCGTCAATCATATTTCAGTCAATTGACACAGTGTATCGAATCTATCTATTCTCATTTATTTATGTTTTTTGTCTAATAACTTACTATTTCCTTTTAACTCTACAGTTTTGAGTCAGAACTAAGCGGGTTGTGATGGCTCAGCCAGCAGTTCCTGTGAATACAGACATGACTGAACTGTTCGGTATTTCGCCTGTTTGGGCGAAACATTTCAATCAACCCACCGTTCTCACGGGAGACTTGGATCGGCCACTTTTTCTTACCTTATGGACTTAAGGACATCATTCCAAACGATCTCCTAGCAGATCCAGTGGAGCTTGCGGATGAGCTGGCACCCCAATAACAGACTCCGGCATCCACAGAGAAGCTCCACCTCAAGATGTTAGAACACGCCGTGATCAGGCAGCTGATTGAAGGATAGACGATTGGAACGCATAGAGGAGACGCAAAGGCCATCCGATTGGCTAAAATCGGTTTATTATGAGGCCGAAGCGCGACTGAGGTCTCGATTGTTATATTCTCAGGGAAATGAAGGTAAACGGCGGTTCTCAGACTCATATCAACGCCTTAATTTCAACGCGTGTTCACTCATGGATTTCCATGCCAGCTGTGATGCGCTATTTGAAACAGATCGTGATTACACATAAGAGCGGATTAAACTAAACAACACGATATTCATGAGGGATACAGATAGTTTCTTTTTTCTAACCCCTATTGTTTGCACAGGTGACCGCACGCTCAAAAATGGGATATTAGACTTGTTTATTAGACGCATGCAAGACGTGGAGGTCCGGCAACAACTTATCAAGGCAAAAGTAGACCTGTATGATGCACTCAAAAAGGCGCTGGAATGTGAATAGGGGGCGAGTACATCAGCACAGTTACAGAAGCTATCACCCTAGAACCAGAGTCCCGGATTAACGAAGCTCAAAAAGGATCGATATTTTCGATTCAACCTGGCAAGAGCAACTACAGCGTTCGAGGAGGCTACAGTAATCGTTCCTCAAAGCAGAGAAAGGGCGGTAAGGCATTTTATTTTTATGGCAATGCGTTCTATCTTGATATCGGATGTCGAGACCCGCGAGAGAGATCAATTGTAACCTCTGTAAGAAAAGGGGAATTTTGCAACGTGTTGCAATTCTTCAAAACGGCGAGTCAATTTGGTGCGTGAGGATAATTCCTGCCCTCATCCTGTGCAAGACTGTGATTTCATTGACGTCAAAAACGACAGCGAACAGGAACACCAGGTCTTTTTGATCGAAGAGGGGGCCCAGATTCACAGTATAGAACTTATGCAGTCGAATACAGGAAAGCCAAGCAGCCTGAGTGTTCAGCTGAGGTAAAACCAGACTTTCTTTTACGCTACCATCGATACCGGGAGTCCGGTATCCTTTCTCAATTTACGTATGGCGAATATTTTTCTCCAGAAATCCTCAGTATTGTTTTTAAAGATGCAACCAGACACTCATTGTGTAGGATGTATGTGTACCACAAAAAGATGCCCATTAAGATATATTGTACGATCGTTATCCTAATCTCAGCTAACGGATGAAATATTAGTGCCGTTTCATTCTTGGTCACGGAAAATCGGACCAGAAACCTGATGGGACTTAAACCGCACAAAGATCTGGGTTTGAGACTACTCAGAAGAAATCGTTGGACGTCAATTTAATAACCGAGGGCGTTGTACTAGACCCAATCTCAGAGTTCTTAAAAAAGCTTTCCAAAGAAAGGTATGCCCACGTGTTCAAGCGGGCGTTTTCAGCACGTTTTCTACGTTGAGTAGGTCAAAAACCACAGTTTTCGCGAATTTCAAAGTGTTCTTACTCTGAGACCAGTCAAGAATAGAAAAGTGCCAAATCACATTCAAGACCGTGTGAAAAACGAAACAAAGAACTTCGATTTACAATTAACTGGAAGTATTTTACTTGAAAAGGGTTTTGAAAAGGACAATTGAAGGTTGAAGTTTGTCCAAAAGTACGCATAACAATTACTGCTGAAATCTAAGCAAAAGAATCCAACTCTCTCCGAAGTCGTTTAGAACCGTGGTCAATTGATTCTTGTCGCCAAATCAGGATTGTAGTAAACACTGTAAGAGAAAATTATTTGAGATCTAGTTAAAAAGTTAAAATAAAAGTGTAGCTGCTGTGCAAGTAGCATAAAAAATTCAGATCACATTGAAAATGCAGTAATGAATCATTGTTAAAAAATTATGTAAGCTTTTGAATGTGGCGAGATGAGAGGAACTATGACGTGGCTATCATCTTCCATGAGAACCAGCGTAGGTGGTAAAGTTTCAAAATGATTGATATGAACCTAAGCTTGAGTTTTTCTACTCAGATTGATATGAACCTAAGTCATTGGCATCACACCTATCCATCATAACCTTCGAAAAAAAATCATACTTCTGGGTTCTCATTGTTAACATATTATTTGTATTTTTTTTTGTTGATTGATTTTTTGTTTGTTGTCAGCGAGATTTTAATCTATTTTCAGATTAAAGCGTCGTATGTTGATGTTTTCAAGTAGATTTTTCAATATAAAAATAAGGAAAGTTTGTCATTGGGTTTGTTGAGAAATGAACTTTGAACAAGTCTATAAACAGAGAAGAGCGGATATGAAGCTGCTGGGCAAGTAATAAACAAAGTTCCCATCACATCATACACGACCCATCTCTACCGAAAGAAGAAACTAAAATTACACACGTAATTTTCCCCCGAAAACTACGCACAAATTGACTCAGCCGATATGTTATACGCCAAAACCATTTAACCGAAAACACACAAAAAATTCAAAAAAAAATCAAAATCAGACTTGTAGTTCCCTTAAATTTTCGGATAAGTTTGTTCAAGTCTTTAGTATTCCCGAGTTGAGCTCCATAGAAAAAAATGCTTATCATACAATTCCATACAAAAAATGCTTTTCATACAATTCCATGCATGGGCTCTATGGCTTTCCATTTATGAAAATTGTATGATAAGCATTTTTTTTCATTGATTTTTTTCCGGAAAACTTTTAAAAAGTAATTTTGTAAGTTTAAATGAGCTTGATTCTACAAAAAAATGTTTGTAGAAACAAATGAAAAATGTATAGGTTTTTAATCAACAACAAAAAAATTGAAGTCCTCAGCTCATTT